GATCTTAAGGAGGTGGAACAAAGGCCCATTTAGGCCAGCATTCTGTTTTCACAGCAGCCAACCAGATGTCTATCTTTATGTGTTGCCATCCTTATTTGCTGAGGTTTTCAGTTTAATCCAATTGTAGCACTGTGTGTCCCATCTAATGTACTTCAGGGGAAATCCTGTCTATCAAACTGTTAAACTACAAAAAGGGGTTGCAAAATGAGATGACATTATTTTTGTTTCTTTCTTGGACTGCTGCATAGCTGCTGCCAGTTAGAAATCATAGATTTCTAATAATTTTGTTGATGAGACATACAAACATAAAAACAAATTTGTCTTGAGTGCATTTTAATCTAGACTTCCAAGTATAAAGCAAAAAGGGGAAAAAACTTGATGTAATTTTACAGCAATAAAATTAACAACTGGTGGAGGGACTATGACTCATCTCACTGTGTCTGACAGATAATACTGGACATTTAATCCCTATGCCTAAACCTTTTGGCCTTAATTTTCCCCAAACTGGAATTAATGATGATACTGAATTAACAAACATTTTATGTATTTTTTTTAAAAAAGTTTCCCCCTTTTTAGATACAGCTATAAATATTATCAAATCAATTGTACAAGGCAACTGAGACCCTTATTATAAGAGCAAATTACCGTAGCTATTAATATTTCATGCCAACATTTTGTTTCCATTTAACCATGGTGCATCCTTTCCACATGTCCTTTTCCATGCATTTAAGTTACCGTATTTTTCGCTCTATAAGACACACCAGACCACAAGATGCACCTAGTTTTTGGAGGAGGGAAACAAGAAAAAAATATTCTGAATCTCAGAAGCCAGAACAGCAAGAGGGATCACTGCACAGTGAAAGCAGCAATGCCTCTTGCTGTTCTGGCTTCTGGGATAGCTGCGCAGCCTGCATTCGCTCCATAAGACGCACACACATCTCCCCTTACTTTTTACGAGGGAAAAAGTGAGTCTTATAGAGCAAAAAATACGGTACATGGCAGAGGAAGATGAAATGATACAATCCAAAAGGATCCATCTTCCCTACCCAAAATGGATAAGGAGAAAGGATATCACATGCCTTCCTTGTTCCCATTGTATTTACATACAGACGTGCAAACTGGGTGATGAGATTTCAGGGCAGGCTTAACTAAACAATTTTCCACGCTGTAGGCAAGAGACTGTTATATAATAACCAGACCGCTTGGGGAGAAAAGGTTTCAGTCTGATAATATTCGTTCATCATAAGCAATCAAAAGTATTACAGGGTCAATGAGGAAGAAACAGTCTGCTTTAATAGGTACAGATTTATTCAAGGTGGAAATAAGGAAATACACATAAAAACAGCTAAAGGAACTTTGTAAATAAGTTCACAAACGTTACTAAGCTTGAAATAATTACTAGCCTGCTGGGAGATGGCAGAGGAGGACCAGAGAGCATGCAACTGCCTGCTGCCTGGGTGGAGCGTCCTTGTGGAGCCTTATGAAGGACTCTTTGATTCAACAGAGGTTCCCATAAGCAAGGGAGGTCAGGATTTTCACAATCACCCCTTTCTCTTGCAATGCCAATCCCCCTCTGCCACCCAGTTATACTTCCCATGCTGTTCCAAGCATACCTCAAGTCTCTAGAGCAGATTAGTGAGGATGCAGGGACCTGGAAAGGGAAGGAGGAATCAATAAAAATCACCGGCTTCCCCTCTAATATAGTGTTACCCAAACTTAGACCAGTGGTCTGGGATGATTGGAACTGTAGTCCAAAAACAGCTGGAGTTTGGGAAACCTTGCTCTAATGGAAGCCTCCATTGAATCAAATAGTTTTCCAACAGGGGATGGGCATGGCTGGATAGCACTCTTGCTTTCTATGCTGAGCACAAGGCATGCCACTACCAGGCAAGTAAACACAAGGCTAGCCTGAGAGACAAATCAGGCAAATCAAAAGGAGGGATGCTGGGGGACTGCTGTACCGGCTGCTGCAGCTGGTGCTGCTTTAAATAAAAGCATAGGAGACCTGTCAGAAGAAAGATGATCTGTTTACTAGTAAAACTTATCAAGACAGTATCATCAGCAATCCCTTCTTCAGCCCACCGCCCTTACCTCACAATGACTGCTGGAGCTTGTCAGTGAAATAACTGGTTAAGCAAGAAATGTGCCTCCCTGGGAAATTAAAGAAAGTTCCCCCAGAATTTACTCAGAGCAGAAAGCAAAATTAATTTTGAACAACACCTTAACAGACTCATTTGACATTACAAAGGGTACCAGACAAGGCTGCCCACTATCTCCGCTGCTTTTTATCAGTGTATTAGAAGTACTAATAAATTGCCTGAGAGGAAGAACAGAGATAAAAGGGGTCAAAATAGGCGCCAAAGAATTCAAACTTAAGGCCTACACGGATAACTTGGTATTAACCTTAGAAGAACCTCAAGAAAGTGTAAAAATAGCATTGGAAGAAATGGGAAAATTTGGGCAACTGGCAGGATTTAAATTGAATAAGACAAAGACGAAAATGTTAGGCAAAAATTTAGAAAAAAGTGAAGTAGAAAGGTTAGAACAAGAAACTGAAACCAAGGTGGTCAAAAAAGTTAAATATTTGGGAATTTGGATGTCGGCAAAGAACATAAACTTATTCAGTGACAATTACCAACCAGTCTGGAAGGAGATTAAAAGAGATTTAGAAATATGGGACAGACTAAAGCTGTCAATGACTGGCAGAATGTCAGCGATCAAAATGAACTTATTACCGAAAATGGTATTTTTGTTCCAGACAATCCCGATAATAAGAGGTTTAAGACAATTTAAAGAGTGGCAAAAAACTCTCTCGCGTTTTATATGGCAAGGGAGAAGACCAAGGATCAAATTTAAAATACTGACAGATAAGAAAGAAAGATGGGGGTTCGCTGTACCTGATCTGAAACTCTATTATGAAGCAGCGTGTTTATGTTGGATAAAGGAGTGGATAACCCAGGAGAACCCAGATTTGTTAGATTCGGAGGGTCACAACAATAGATTTGGATGGCACTCCTATCTTTGGTATGGTAAGGCAAAAGTGCATAAAGGGTTTACAAATCATGTGATAAGGGGTGCTCTATTTGAAGTCTGGGACAGAAACAAGAATTTGTTGGAAAGGAAAACACCGTGGTGGGTGTCACCAATTGATATGTTAACAGTTAAAAAACTGAACATAGAAGGGAGAGGGGCCACCTATGAGGAGATTCTGATGAAGGCCGAAAAAGGTTGGAAATTGAAGCCTTATGATTGTATTGCTGGAAAATTGACAGGATGGTTGCAATACCATCAAGTCAATGATGTTTTCAAAGAGGACAAAAAATTAGGATTTGAAGACAAAAAATCGAAATTTCAAATAGACATTATAGAAAGTAAGTCTAAACTACTTTAAAAAATGTATAATCTATTAGAATGGAATACAAAAGACGAACTTACAAAAGAGGCTATGATAAAATGGGCTATTGATCTAGGACACAACATAGACTATGATGTATGGGCCAAACTCTGGAATGAGAGTATAAAATTCACCGCTTGTTCTGCCTTAAAAGAGAATGTTATGAAGATGGTCTATCGTTGGTATCTTACTCCCACCAAATTGGCAAAAATGTACAGAACTAGTAGTAAAACTTGCTGGAAATGCAAGGAAAAGGATGGTGACTTCTTTCATATGTGGTGGTCATGTAATAAATTAAAAGAGTTCTGGGAATCGATTTATAACGAGTTTAAAAAGATGTTTAAGTATAGCTTTCCCAAAAGCCGGAAGAATTCTTGCTAGGTTTGGTGGGAGAAGATATTAAGAAGACTGATCAAAGATTATATTTGTACGCAACAACAGCAGCTAGAGTTCTGATAGCTCAAAAGTGGAAGCAACATGAGATGCCGACAGTAGGAGAATGGCAGATAAAGCTGGTTGAATACGCTGAGATGGCTAAATTGACACACAGAATTCGCAATCAGAAGGAGACAAAGTACCAAAAAGAATGGTGTAAATTTTTGATCTATATAAGTGAGAACTGTGCAAATTTGAAAACTTTGGCAGGATTGAAGTAAATCTTATGTCATGTTGTAATATCTAATCAAAGAAACTGTGAACTATAGAATAGAATAGGAAAACTGATGGAAGGGAAGGACGGAAGTCAACAGCGCTACGGAGCATAAAGTAGGATATATGTAATAAGATTTGATGTTTTACTGGTGTTGGTGGGTGTTGGTGGGTGATCTTAAATCTCAATAAAAATTATTAAAAAAAAAAAAGAAAGTTCCCCCAGATCTTTAGAGGTAGCTGACACTGTTGCAATTAATAAAAGCCTAAGTGTGGGCCGGTGGTAAATATAGATAGTACTGTATCTTCTATTTTATAATTAAGTGCAACACACACTGCTTTCTAAGACTGATTACAGGATTGTTATTTTCTGCCTGGGTTAGTTAGAAAGGGTCCTCCTTTTTCTGAGGCTACATAATAGTGTTATTCTTTCTCTTAAAAATCACTGGATTAGTTGCTGTCCTCTACCCCCCTCTGCATGCAAAGGATTTTTTTTTTTCTCCTTATGCACCTGTGCTATGAATAATCCAAAAAGATGCAGCAGAGTCAGCAGAAAAGAAGTATGCCCTGCAGGCTTAGGTTGTACTTTTGACATTTACACAGTATTTCACTCATATTTGTTCAATCCCCACACCCTTGTTAAAAAGAAATATCCTGAAACCCTGGCATCACTTAATGTACTTGTGATGCCAATATGAAAAAACAACAAGACAGCAGATCAGTACCACACATAATAGAAGACACCAGTTTGAAATAAAGGTTTGAAATGTTTGAATAGAATGACACCCCCCCCCCAAGTTTGGAGCACATATGTGCACACACAGACGCACACACAGACACACAATACCCAAGGAGTAAGTTTCAGACCCCTGTTTACTTTCAGATATTTTGAACAGTCCAATGCCATACTTGTCTACACAAACAAAACTCCTAATGCAGTAAAATGTACACAATACTTACTATCTCCATGGTTTTGGAAGGAGGAATGTAATTAGTTAGATGGACTAACGGCCGGGAGCACTGCCAGCATCCCGAGGCACTCCGGGGCGATTAGTACGGTGGTCATCCTCTGGCTGCCATTCAGGAATCCTCCTTCAGTCCAGAGAGACCGATAAATAGGTGACCTGTCTCTTATTGAGAAAAGCACACCAATTTCCCCTGAGCAACCATCAGAAGGAAAAGGCAGTTTGTAGATTTCATCTACTTTATTAAACTGCATACAAAACAACACGCATGGTTGGTCGTCCCGAACAGCCCAGCTTGTGAGTACTACGACTCAACACTGCTCCAGTCCAGGAGCGGAAGGGGCGAATGTAACTCCTCCCCGGTTACGCTGAAGACAGTCTGAGAACTGACTCACACTTCCTTTCTCACGCTGTGAGACATCTGATGTAAACAGCTCTTGCTGTTTCCTGCCAGCCTGGCAGCTGGTGGGGGTTGAAATCCCAACAGCACTCCCCCTAAATGACCAAGTCCACAATTTGGGAATGTTCCTGGATTCAGCACTGGTTGGGGAAGTCCAGATTGCATCAGTAGCCAGAAATGTATTCTGTTGGCTTTGGCTGGTACACTAACTGCAGCCAAGGGCAGGCCTAGCCACAGTGATCCATGTGCTAAACTACTGTAATGTGCTGTACTGCACATGGAGCTGCCTTTAAAGGCAGTCCAGAAACTTGAGCTGGTTGAAAAAGTGGGTTGAATTGCAACATGGAATTTCATATGTTATCAAAGTTCAAGTGTACAAACACACACACACACACACACACACACACACACACACTTGAAGTCTAATCACTTGAGAATTGAAACTACAGTGAGGAATGACAGCACTTGATTCAATCAGCTCTGGGAAACTTTATTTGTTTCCCCCAAATTCTCGAGAGAGAGAGAGCAGAGGACTACCTTCGTGCATGAATTCCCAATGGACAGAATCCACTCCGTAGTATGAGTAGCTCAGATTTTGGGAACCTCTTTATCACACCAGCACTTTCTTATGGAGAACAAAATTATTCCCAACAAGAAGAATTAATTCAGCATAGTTAAATTCATCATAGTTAACTGTGCTTGCCTCAAACCAGCTGACTTCCTAATAGACCGTAGTAGAGGAATAGAATAACTACACAGGTATCTTTAATGGTGCACAGGTAAAATTCTAGCACCCCTAAAAATAACATACACAAGAGGAAGTGTGCAGCAAGAAGTGTAATAAGGGGGCTGCTATTTCCTTTAGGCTGTTCCAAGGGTACAAGAAGACTGGTTTTGCTCTGATTATTAGGTCCCCTTTACTATGTTGATTGCCCAATTTAATAATATTTAAAAGTTCTAGTGTAGTACAGGCATTTCTCTGGTTCCCTCCCCTGTGGGAGCTTCAGGGGGATGATGTCAAAAAAAATGATTTTTTTTCGGTTGTGGCTCTCCACCTGTAGAATGTATTCCCCAGTGAGTCTGCTTTGCACCTTCGCATACTTCTTTATAATACCAGGTAAAGACTTACCCTCTCCCCTTAACTTTTGGTTGACTGGGCTGATTTTGCTCTACTATTGGTGGGCTGCCAAAGCTTTAATTAGTTCTTATGAGGGTGGGGTGGTTTTATGATGTGGGCATTGCATGAAAATGCTATATATATATTATATTACAGTGGTACCTCGCAAGACGAATGCCTCGCAAGACGAATGCCTCGCAAGACGAAAAACTCGCAAGACGAAAGAGTTTTTCTTTTTTGAGTTGCTTCGCAAGACAAATTTCCCTATGGGTTTGCTTCGCAAGACGAAAACGTCTTGCAAGTTTGTTTCCTTTTGGATTTTCAATGCATTCCTATGGGAAACCGTGCTTCGCAAGACGAAAAATTCACAGAACGAATTAATTTTGTCTTGCGAGGCACCACTGTAATTTGTTATTATATGCATTTATGTTTATGTTTTTAAATGTAACTTGCTTGGAGACCTTTTAAATAACAACAGACTAAATCATCATTATCATAATAATTGTTGTTGTTGTTGTTTAGTCATTTAGTCATGTCCGACTCTTCGTGATCCCATGGATCAGAGCATGCCATAGTTGTCAGAGGCTTAATGCTGTCCAGCTGGCATAGTTAAGACTCCGGGCTCCCAGCCAGTTCCAAACTATTTGATTTATTTGACAAAGTTCAAACGTACATCTCCAGCGTTTCAATTAGCGTCCATCCCGTTGTTGCGCAGTTGCCGCCTCTAATCTTTCTTCTTCCTTTTCCGTACCCAGCATGCAAGTCTGCGGAAACTCCTCCCCTGACTTCCTCTGTGTACAGAATGACTTGTTCCAGGCTCATCCTCCTCCCCCTCTACGTCAGACCCACTGTCAGACGACAGACTGCTGATAATCTCTTTAGGCTCTCTATAACTGCTGGTTTCTGTCCTTTCGTCTTTTCCCGTTTGCCTCTCCCTGACAATAGTATTATAATTTTAGCACTTGGAATAATGATGTTCTCATCACTGAGCATTGAGCTAGATTCTTTCTGAGTCTGCTATATCAGCATTATTTACCTTGGTTAAAGAGATCAAGTTACAGATAAAGCTGTACTAGAAAAGAGCCCTTTGCAAATGTATTGTAATGTGCTGTGCTGTGCTGTTTTGTTTTGTTGCATTTCTTCCCCCTCCTTCCCCAATGAGCTCAGGATGGTGGACATTCCCCTCCCATTTTATCTTCACAAGAACCCTGTGAGATAGGTTAGATTGAGAAAGACAGAGTGGTTGGTTCAAGGTCATCTATGAGGTGTCATGGCAAAAGAGGGACTTGAACCCGGGTCTATTAGTCCAACATCTTGACTGAACCACCCTTGTTTCTTTTCATTGGGGTTCAATCTGCAGATTGGCCTTCGAGAACTCATACTTTTCTGCTTTGGGCAAGCCTTCTCAGATCAGCGTAAGTGCCTCTGAATGTGGAAGAAGATGGAAGAAGAGGAAACCAGACTTCAGCATATCATCAGGGTATGCAAATCCATCCAGGCATGCATCAATGACCATACAACAGGTAAGAGTTGTACAATGCAAAATAATAATGATGATGCATTTTTCTACCCTCATTAGGTTACTCAAATGTCACAACTGCAGATCACTCTACAGAAAGCTCCCCTTGCTAGTTTGTGTGGCAAGTCCCCTCCCCCCTTGTGAAATGAAGACACAGGACACATTATTTAAGGTTAATGGGCGTAAAAGGCCACAGCTTTATTGATTACAGGAATTGAGAGGTATTGGCCTTAGGCATTGGTTTCTATCGACTACCCGGCATGGAGACCGGGAAGGGTTATCCACCAGCCGTGGGAGTCCTGTTGAAGTACGCCAACTAGGATCCCACGGGTGTCACCGCTCGGGAGCGTGCCGGAGGCCCTCACCTCCCTAGGTTTCGGACAAGGCAACGCCCCCCGGAGTCCTTTACCGGACTACCGTTTTTCATTGGGGGAAGGTGATGGCGCTTCCTTCCCCCCTTCATTTGCATAACAATTACCCCTGCCAATGCCTAACCGCCAATACCGGGAAAGTTGTGACGTTTGCTACGAGGTAGGCGAAAAAACCAAATGGCTGGAAATTTGCCAAGTGGAAAAATTCCTACCAGGCCCCTAACTAAAACTAAGGGAGGGCGGGATGGGAAACCGCAACAGCTGGAACGGGGAAGAGAGGAAAGTCCCCAGGCGCGCCAGCCTTAAGTGTGCTAGGCCACGCCTCCCCGGCCCGCCGATTGGCTGGCCAGGTCGGTGACGCGCCTGAGGATTCCCCTGCTCTTGCGGGGCTGTGAGCCAGCCCCGCGTGCGTGGGGAGGGGGTGGGCCCGCAACCCCACCTCCTCTCCAGCTCGGAAGTGGCTTTTCAAGAAGCCCTTTGCATATTGTAAGGATCTGGGGAAAAGAGGCAAAAATTAGGCTTTCCCTTTTCCCTGCCCTATCATCCAATCATTAGGGTGCTTTAAATTGATTTCTGTTTCTCATATGTATGATAGCAATTTTCCTTCATGTCATTAAGAGCAGATTACTGCAATTGCAGAGGGGGAGGGAGAGAAATTGCCTACATCCACACTTCACACATTTACCAGCTTTCTGGCATGCGGTGGCACAGCAATTCCATTCGCTGCACCGCAAATGCGCCTCATTTCTCTGTGCTCTCTATGCAGTGGCACAAATAGAATACAGATTGATGATTGATGCCAATCAGCATTGGGCTTACAGTTCCCTGTGCTGCCATTGATGTTTCACCAAGCTCCTATTGGATTTTCATGTCCAACTGTATGTTTGCACAAGCCAGCCTCGTTCCCACTCTATGAATGAATAATGAAGGCTTTTCTATTTTTGAATCTGGCAGCCATGACTGCTGTGTAAAAGTTTCATGGGAAAATTGAAGAGTGTGGAGGCTGAACTCCTCTCCCTGCTCCCCTCCCCAACTCTCTCCTACAGATACAGCTTTGGCTGTTCACTACATAACTGGCTTATCCCATTGTACAAAACCCCATTTATTTGTGTAGAGGCAAGACACATGGTTGATTAAGTGCTGTCCCAAATCTATTACCATGAATTATATTTAAATTTGTAGCAGGTTTCCCCCATTTCAAGGTAAAGTCTATGAATATACAAAGACAAGACACAAAAGCAGCTTAGTCAACTATTTGAAGTGAATGAATTTGAGCAAGTTTGTGTGTTTCAGGGCTAACTGGGCTTTCGCTATCCTAAGTGTGTGTGTTTGCACTTTTTGGCTTGTTAGGAATGATGGGGGGGAAATCTTATTGAGCAAAATCACATTTCATATTGAAGGTGGTATTAATCTTTCCCTTTTATATTGCATTTCTATTGGGTTGGCAGATATAGATACAAATAGCTGATGCCTTTAAATGCCACAACTGGTAGTTAGCAAGGCTAAGCCTACACTGGGTCTTTTTGTGTGTGTTGAAACTATATTGCCCACCCGTATAAAATACCAAGGGAGTATACCACAATCTATGCAAACATTTGGTAAGTATAGCATAGTGATACGTGATGCAGCGCATGCTATTTGCTGCAATACTCCAAAGTTTTATTATAGATGTGTGTTACTAAGACATGGATTAGGGGTAGGGAACATTTTTGTACCAGTGGCGCAGATCCTTATCTCACCACCACCAGCAGCACAGGCTAACTTTGACAGATGGGTGGGGTAATCATCTGACATCATAATGACGGAACACCACCTGGTTTGCAACAATAAATATTTGTTATTCAGCCAGGAGGATATAAATGAGGGGCGAAGGATTCCCTTCACTATCCCACAGGTGAGTCTGGCTTGCAATGTGGTGACTCAGTTCCACATCCTGTGGAATTCTTCTGGAGATGTGAATTGCTACAACTTTGTTGGGATTCCGCAACCAGCTAAAAGCATATCTGTTCTCCCAGGTTTTTGGAGGAATTTAGTTATGTTTTCTGATGGTGCCGCTAAGGTTCTGCTATTTTGCACAATGATCTATAACAGGTTTCAATTTTAGTTTTAACATTGTTGAGTTATGGTGTATAACATTTTGTCTTATCTATTACATTGCAAACCATACAGGTGAAACTCAGAAAATTAGAATATTGTGGAAAAGTTCATTTATTCCAGTAATTCAACTTAAAAGGTGAAACTAATATATGAGATAGACTCATGACATACAAAGCGAGATATGTCAAGCCTTTATTTGTTATAATTGTGACGATTAAATTTCTTCCAATCTTCTTCCACCGACTCTTCTCCCTGGTCTCGGATTCTGCCAGTCATTTCCGCCAGTTCCATGTAGTCCATCACCTTCATCTGCCATTCTTCCAGAGTGGGTAGATCTTGTGTCTTCCAATACTTTGCAATAAGTATTCTTGCTGCTGTTGTAGCATACATAAAAAAAGTTCTATCCTTCTTTAGCACCAATTGGCCGACGATGCCCAGGAGAAAGGCCTCTGGTTTCTTCAGAAAGGTATATTTCAATACCTTTTTCATTTCGTTATAGATCATCTCCCAGAAAGCCTTAATCCTTGGGCATGTCCACCAAAGGTGAAAGAATGTACCTTCAGTTTCTTTACATTTCCAACATTTATTATCGGGCAAATGATAGATTTTTGCAAGCTTGACTGGTGTCATGTACCACCTGTATATCATTTTCATAATATTCTCTCTTAAGGCATTACATGCCGTAAACTTCATACCTGTGGTCCATAACTGTTCCCAGTCAGCAAACATAATATTATGTCCAACATCTTGTGCCCATTTAATCATAGCAGATTTCACCGTTTCATCCTGAGTATTCCATTTCAACAGCAAGTTATACATCTTTGACAAAATCTTGGTTTTGGGTTCTAACAGTTCTGTTTCCAATTTTGATTTTTCCACCTGGAAGCCAATTTTCTTGTCCAAATTGTATGCCTCCATTATCTGATAATAATGAAGCCAATCTCGCACTTTATTTTTTTAGTTTTTCAAAACTCTGCAGTTTCAATCTATCTCCCTCTTGTTCCAAAATTTCCCAATATTTCGGCCATTTGGCCTCCATATTGAGCTTTTTCTGAGCCTTCGCTTCCATCGGTGACAACCACCTTGGGGTTTTATTTTCGAGTAGGTCCTTATATCTTATCCAGACATTAAACAATGCTTTCCTGACAATATGATTTTTAAATGCTTTATGTGCTTTGACCTTATCATACCATAAATATGCATGCCATCCAAATACATTATTAAAGCCTTCTAAATCCAAAATGTCTGTGTTTTCAAGAAGCAGCCATTCTTTCAGCCAGCAAAAAGCTGCTGATTCATAGTAAAGTCTAAGGTCTGGCAGGGCAAATCCACCTCTTTCCTTTGCATCCGTTAGTATTTTAAATTTTATTCTAGGCTTCTTGCCCTGCCAGACAAATCTAGAAATATCTCTCTGCCACTTCTTGAAGCAATCCATTTTATCCAAAATTTGCAATGTTTGAAACAGAAACAACATTCTAGGCAATACATTCATTTTTATTGCAGCAATAGGGCCTAGCAGTGAAAGCTTCAAATTTGACCAGATTTCTAAATCTTTTTTCACTTCAATCCAGCATTTTTCATAATTGTCTTTAAATAAATTCCCATTTTTAGCTGTCATGTTAATCCCCAGGTATTTCACTTTCTTAACTACTGTTAAACCTGTCTCATTCTGAAACCTCTCTCTCTCAATCTCTGTTAAATTTTTCTCTAAGACTTTTGTTTTTAACTTATTTAGTTTAAATCCTGCAACCTGACCAAATTCTTGAATCAGTTCCAAAACTCTTTTGGTACTAGATTCTGGCTCCTGTAATGTCAATACTAAGTCATCTGCAAATGCTCTCAATTTGTACTGTTTAGCTCCGACTTGTATACCTTTAACCAATTGGTCCCTTCTAAGCATATTCAACAGGACCTCCAGGACCGATATAAAAAGCAGTGGGGAGATTGGGCAACCTTGTCGTGTCCCTTTTTCAATCTTAAATTCCTCCGTCACCACGTTATTAACAATTAATTTAGCCTTTTGTTCTGAATAAATTGCACTTATACCGTTTCCAAAACCTTGACCTACCCCCATCCCCTGTAGATTCTTCTTCATGAAACTCCAAGAAATGTTGTCAAAAGCTTTCTCCGCGTCCACAAATATCAAAACTGCCTTGGTATTAATATTCACTTGTAATTTTTCTAAAATATTGATTATGTTTCTCATATTATCAGGCAAGTGTCTACCCGGGAGAAAGCCTGCTTGATCTTTATGAATCCCTTCCACTAACACTTTTTTTAGTCTTTTAGCCAAAATGTCTGCAAAGATTTTATAATCCACATTAAGCAGTGATATGGGGCGGTAGTTCTTAAGCTGCGTCTTTTCAGTCTTTGTTTTCGGTACAAGTGTAATATACGCTTCTTTCCACGACTCTGGTGCCCTTTTCCCATCCATTATTTTGTTGCAGACTTCCTTTAAAGGTTGTACTAACCATTCTCTTAAAGATCTGTAGTATCTAGAAGTCAGTCCATCCGGTCCTGGAGATTTACCTAATTGCATATTCTGAATGGCACCTTCTACCTCCTGTTCAGTTATTTTATAGTTCAGCATTAATTTATTTTCTTGAGAGATTTTTGTAATCCATTTATTTTCAAAAATCGGTCTACATCAATTTCTTTCTGTGGCCCTTGTGTATATAGTTGTTTAAAATACCTCTGGAAACAGTTTCTAATCTCAACTGGGTTCTGTATGTTCTTTCCTTCCACTTCTAAATTTATAATAGTATTTAGTTTTTGTCTTTTTTTCATTTGCCAAGCCAAAAATTTCCCACATTTATTAGCCGACTCAAATGTCTTTTGTCTCATTTGTTTAATTTTCCATTCTATCTCCTGATTCATCATTTTCATGTATTGTTCTTGATATAACTTTATTTCTCTCAAGATCTCTTGCGACTTTGGTTTTGCTCTCAATTTCTTTTCACTTTCCTTTATTTTCTCCAATATTTTATCCTTTTTCTCATTTTGAATTCTCTTCTGTATTGCATTCTGTTGTATCAAGAACCCTCTCATAACAGCTTTGCTTGCGTCCCAGATTACTCTTTTTTCAACATTGGTGTTCATATTTGTCTCGAAATAGTCTCTCAAGGTTTTATGGGCCTTCTTAAACACTTCTTCATCTCTAAATAAGGTGTCATTCATCCTCCATCTGAAGGAGCCAGTTGGTGTTAGTTTCATCTCCATCTTCACAGCATTATGGTCGGAGCAGGTTTTTGGGCAGATTTCCACTTTTCTTGTCTTTGGTGCCATTCCTCTAGTTACCCATATTTGGTCAATTCTTGTCCATGTCATTTTGGCTTCAGAGAAGAAGGTTCCCTCTCTAGCCAAGGGATTCTTTGTTCTCCAGATATCAACTAAGTCCAAGTTGTCTGTCATCTCTAAAAAGGTTTTCGGTAGTCTGCCATCCTTAGTGACTACCTGTCTTTGTGCCTTGTCCATGTGTGTAGATACTACTCCATTCATATCTCCCATCAAAATCACATTATAGTCCAAATAGTCCATCAAGGTCTCATGCAACTTTTTAAAGAATTCAGATTTCCCCTCATTTGGTGCGTAAACTCCTCCTATTAAGAATTTCTCTCCTTGTATTTGAATTTCAATTGCCACAAATCTTCCTTGGTCATCTTTAAAGATAAATTTCGGTGATAGTCTCTCCTTTGCATAAATCACTACTCCTCTTTTTTTAACTTTATCCGATGAAATAAACTCCTGGCCCAGTCTTTTATTGATCAATACTTTTCTATGTAGCCTTGTCACATGTGTTTCCTGTAGACAAAACAAGTCCAATTGTTCCTTTTTTAATAAATGAAACACTGTTTTCCTTTTCTGGGGGGAGTTGAGACCATTACAATTCCAGCTTAATAGTTGCAGAGCCATGATGTAGTTACTTTACTTTTCCTCCAACTGCACCAAGTGCCTGTTCCTGCTCTGTCGGTGGTATCACCTTCTCTGGGCAGTCTTTTAATCCAAAAGGTAGTTTTGCTATGTCTAATATTCCTCTTTCTAGTGCTCTTAACTCTTCTCCAGATTCTTTCTGCAGGTCTTCTCCGTGGTCTTTCAAAAATCTTTCTTTGTCGTCCACTGATCTTATTTTTATCTTTCTTCCTTTGAAGCTAAAAGATAGGCCTTGGGGAAATTCCCACCTAAAGATGATTCTGTTGCTTCTCAACAGGGCAACCAAATCTCCATAATTGGACCTAAGATCCAAAAGATATTTCGGAATGTCTTTAAATATCTCCACTTTTGACTGATGTATTTCCAAAGTCTTCTGGAAGTGCAGACTCAAGATTTTGTCTCTCTCCTCTTTTGTTCGGAGGGTGATCAAACAGTCTCTCACCCTGTTCTTCTTCCCTCCTCTTCCAAGCCTGAAAGCACTCACTATCTTAAAATCGTCCTTCTCCAAATCTGGGTTCCAAAAGTCTGCAAATTCCTGCATAAGAAAGTCAGTCAGATTGTCTTTCTCAAGTTCAGGTACGGCCCTGATCCTCAAATTCGTTTGTTTCTCCTTCAATTCAATCATAGACAATATTGACCTGTGGTCTTCAAGTTGCCTATGTATCGGTGGTATCTTCTCTTCTACAGCAACTGTTATTTCCTTTGCTTCTTCAGCTGTCTTTCGGGTCAAAGTAGATTCCTGTAGCAGTTTCTCAATAGTTTCTGTATTAGTATTTACCTTCTGTCCCAAATTGTTGATACTTGTAGTATTTTGATCAATTTTAATTGATGCTTCAGCTACTTGTTTACTTAATTTTTCCAGAGATTCATTAATTTTGCCTAATGCCTGAGCTAAAACATCTTTGGATGCCATTCCTTTAGGTTTAGGTTGTACAAATGCAGCCCCTGATGATGGGCCAGAGGGGCCAGATGTTGATGCTCTTCGCTGCAGCCCAGCGTCTGGGCGAAATGATCTACCAGACCTCGTTGTTTTTTCCTGAGGCAAATCTATCTTCTCTTTTCCATCTGCCATAACACTCTAGTTAAAGCCCAAGGTCAGTCCCACGGCCAGAATTTGTTTTGAAGTGGAAAATTCCCCTGGCCCAGTTGTTATTGTAACAATTTCAAACTTCCTCTAGGGGGACACAGTAGCAGTCAGAAGTTGTTGCCTTAAAATAAATAACCTTTTTTTAATCCCCCAATTCACAAAATAGACGACAGTTTCAATTTCAGTTATTTTCCAGTTACTTTAAAACCAGGAGAAGCCAGCCAGAAACATTGTATCTCACTTGTATCTCCCTTGCAGAGTTATCTGTCAAAAAGTACTCTATTCACCAACAGCGCATTTCACAGTACGGCATTCTTATTGTCCATTGGCAGCCCGTTCCCAGGTTTTAAGCGGTGGATTTTAGCTTCCTTTTCTCTCTTTTTGCAGGGAAATACAGTTCACACCTTTCCCCCCTCCTCTCCTGCAGCCAAGGGGGGAGATCGCTTGTTTTGATGTTAGAATTATAGTCCTTTTCAAGCGTCTTTCAAGGTTTTAGCTTACAAGTTCATTGCTTTACTCTATTTACAAAAAAACGGAAGGCAGACTTCCTGTTTATGCCTCCCCGCTTTGGTATCAAATTACGTCTTTGTTCTCCTTTATTTCCAAAATTAACCTACTCCCGGGTAGTTGTTTTTGTAGCCAGATTGTCACAGGAAAAAGGTAGCGCTCTCCGGTAACGGCTGTGCGGCTTCGCTCCACGGAAGAAGCAGTTGACTCTCAGCACCGCGCCACTTCTCTGCTTCACTCCGGAGCCCGTATTTGGGCTCCTTTGCAGATTGGGGGGGCGCAAAAGGTGCCCGCCGAGTCCCACGGTCACAGGCTTCACCCGCCTGTGATTTTTTCAAGGGTCCCCGCTTCGCCGTAGTGGAACAGACCCGATTCCTGTAGAGCCAGTCCCTCCAGATCAGAGGGAGTGCGCCATTACCGATGGCGCCACCCCAGAAGTCTGGTTTTTGGAAGAATTTAGTTATGTTTTCTGATGGTGCCGCTAAGGTCCTGCTATTTTGCACAATGATCTATAACAGGTTTCAATTTTAGTTTTAACATTGTTGAGTTATGGTGTATAACATTTTGTCTTATCTATTACATTGCAAACCATACAGGTGAAACTCAGAAAATTAGAATATTGTGGAAAAGTTCATTTATTCCAGTAATTCAACTTAAAAGGTGAAACTAATATATGAGATAGACTCATGACATACAAAGCGAGATATGTCAAGCCTTTATTTGTTATAATTGTGACGATTATGGGGTACAGCTGATAAAAACCCCAAATTAACAATCTCAGAAAATTAGAATATTGTGAAAAGGTGCAGTAGCTATTCAATCCATAACACCTGCAATGGGTTCAGTAGGAAGCACAATCATGGGGAAGGCTGCTGACCTGACAGTTGTGCAGAAAGCCATCATTGAGACCCTCCATGAGGAGGGAAAGCCTCAAACGGTAATTGC